TGGGAAGAGGCTGAGAGGTAGAAATTTATTTATTACCTCAGAATGGGAGAAAAGTAAGTCCTAGATTAATATGACTTCTTTCTAACCATACCTCACACAACTCAATACAAAGCTTCAAAACACCAAACTCTTGCCAGATATTATAACAAAATATGAATGGTCAAGAATACTAATACTTGAAAACAAAAATGCTCTTCATCTACCCAGTGAGATAAAGTCACCAAATCTGGCTTTCCATAAGAATTGTCAGGCTTGTAAGAAGGCTGGAAAATCTGATCAAGATTCTGAAGAGAAGCCAGGAGTGGTGGTGCACACCTTTAACATCAGCACTCGGGAGGCAGAGGCAGGTGGATCTTTGTGAGTTCGAGGCGAGCTTGTTCTACAAAGCCTGTTCCAGGACAGTCAGGGCTACACAGAGAAACCTTGCCTTCAAAAACCAAAGGGGGAGAGAGACAGAGAGAGAGAGAGAGAGAGAGAGAGAGAGAGAGAGAGAGAGAGAGAGAGAGAGAGGAGAGAAACCAGCAGAAGCAGATCTGCTTTGACACAGATATCAGAGAAGTTATTGTAACCACATCCCATATGGTAGTGAAAAAGGAGGGGAAAGTAAGGATATTAAGTAGACAGAATTGAGATATGAAAGAAAAAAAGGCCACAGATGATGCTTCCAGAGCTGAAAACTGTAGTCGCTGAGATTAGAAATGCAATGTGCAGAATTAGCAGTGGGTTAAGTGCTGTGCAGTAAAAAAAAAAAACAAAAACAAAACAGTGAGTTTAAAAGCATGGCCTTAGAAGTATGGAAAATAAAACACACAGAGAAAAAGAGACAAACAAATGAATGTGGCCTCTCTAATCTGCTTCAGCTGTCCAAGTGCAAGGTCACAAGCATGGCCTTATTCTGGAATTACAAAGTTGGAATCATCCAAGAAGGGGGAAAAAAAAATCTATACCAAGACATGACTGAAAGGTTGCCAGTCCAAGAAGGTCAATGAGTATTATGGTTTAGAGCTTGTATGTCCCTAAAGGCGTGAGTACTAAAGGTTTGCTCACCAGCCTGTGGTGCTATTTGGAAAGGCTGAAGCCATTAGGGAATGGAAACTAGGTCACTGGGACATGTCATTGAAGAGTTTATTGAGACAGAGGCACTCTCTCTGTCTCTCATTGTTCCCAAGCTGGTTGAGGTGAGCAGACCACCATGCTTTCCGGCCATGAGGTACCTGTGCCACTGTAGGCCCAAAGCACAGAGCCAAGAAAATATTCGCTAAGACTTGTGAAACCATGAGTCGAAACTAACCATTCCTCCTTCCAAACCTTTTATCTTAAGTGTCTGGATAGTTGCAGGAAACTGACTTGTAGTGCAAATCCTAATTGGTCTTAATAATTAAAAACCTGGAGCTAGATATCAGGGTAAATGCTGAAAGATCAGAGAGACAAAGGAGCAAGCCACACCCACACTCTTACCTAGCCAACTCCTCAGCTGAAAAAGTTGAGCTCTTGTCTCCACCCTGCCTTATCACTTCCTCTCTCCTCCCAGCCATAACACTTCCTGTTTCTTCCTTACAAGTGCTGGTCTTAGAGGTGTGTGTCTCTCAAATCCTGGAATCCAAGGCATGAGATATCAAGTGCTGGGATTAAAGGTGTGTGCCACCATTGCCTGGCCTCTAGTGGCTAGCTCCACACTCTGATCTCCAGGCAAGCTTTATTTGTTAGAGTACAAACAAAATATCAGCACACTGACTCACGCAAGGGTGCTCAAATGCACAGAACATGAAAATACCTATTCCAAAGATTTAACATCACTAGTAAATAGAAAGTCTTAAAATCTGTTAAAAAAAAAACCAAAAATACACTTTGGAAATTGAATAAAGTATAGAAACTTCTTTGAAGTATTGAGAAAATGATGTGTTTTCTAACATTTCCATGAACACTTCTCTTACAATCAAATTTTAAAACGAAGGGGTCACTATCAAGTACTCGGTGCAGTCAGAAAGGCCTGGAACTTGCCTGATGCATCTTCAAGTAGTTGATTATAGTCATCCTTCTCTCCTTCTGTTACAAATGTTTCCTTCCTTTCTTCACTTCTACATGATTGGGAGAAAAGGTTATCTTATGCATGCCTATTAATTGGCAATTCCAAGGTCCAAATTGTAGACATAGGTGTCATATCCTAGACATCAGAGAAGAGCTTAAACTCATTGTTGGAAAGAAATAAAATTCCTCCTCAGGCATCATCTCCCTAAAGTTCTAGTCTATAATATAAATTACTCTTCTTCACTTCCCTATAGCTGACCCAAAAAGAATTCATGTGGTTAGAAAACCACTTATGACTCACGGGGGAGGGGGATATTTTGGATTGCCGATAGAAGACAATAAAGATTTAATAAGAGGATCTGCTTTGACAGATTTAGAGTTATGGATAAGATACTCCTTGGTCTAGTAGGATGGCTCAGTGTGTAAAGGCCTTGTTGCCAAGCCTGACACCTCAAGTGTGATCCAGAGCCCGTATTACCTCCCAGAGTGCTGAGGGGGGGGTGAGGGACTTCGATTTCAAGCTTCAGTTCTCAAACTATGAGAGAACAAATACAAACATGCTGGTTTAAATCACCTAGGTTGTGACAATTTGTTATGTCACCCTAGGAAGCTAACATACTCTCTGACAGAACCACAGAGTAGGTTGTTCGTGGCCGTTCCCAACTCCCACTCAGATCTCGGCCAGAACTGCCCTGAACAGAACAGAACTCGGACTGCCTTTGAGACTTGCATGGCCCTTCTCCCTGAAAATCTTGGTGGTCTCTTAAAATGCAATCTCCTTTGATGAAGGAGAGAACCGAATTCCTCTGACCTCTACACATGTGCTGTGGCCCTGTGTCACTTACAATAAATAAACAAATAATGCGATACAGAATTAAAAAAACAACAACAACCCTTCTCTTTAAGCATCTATTTTGTGTGGATACTTTAGGTACTGAGGACATAGTCTCGTGAGTTCAGACAGTTTGAAGTATGTAGTACTTTAAAAGCACATCATTGAGGACTAGTTTTTAAAATCAAATTTGTCCCCAAATGTAGTTTTTTTTTTTTAAATTAAAACTAATTGTAAGTGTAAGGACTACAGTTGAACAATCATAAAACTTTGGTCATTGTCATATAATAACTTATTTAGTTTACCCTCAGACCCCATCGTAGGTCCCTAACAGGAACTAGCTTTAGAATACCTGGGCTTAGATAACACATACTGTATTACATTATAGACTAGTATTAGGACTTAGAAAGGCACCGAATAGCAGGCACATTTCAAAGCTTAAAGACAGATGTAATGCTTGATCTCTTTTATGGATGCATCGTGACTTCATAAATGTTCTCAGAGAGAAAAAAAAAATGCTCTTATCCCAACATTTAGAGGACTCAAGAAAGACATGAGTTTTAAAATCAGCTTAGATCTTTCAAAATACGATTTATTTATTTTTATGTTTGTGTTTGGTCTGCAAGTATGTTTATACATCACGTGCATGCAATGTCTGTGGAGGCCAGAAGAGGGCAACAAAACTTCCGGAACCGGAGTTGCAGTCCGTTGCCCTACACAACATAGGTGCTGGGAATGCAATGCTGGTCCTGCTAAAGCAGCAGGAACTCTTTACCATGGAGCCATCTCCCCAGCTCTCTCTCAAATTTTAAAATCAAATTTATATATGTGTATTGGTGAATGCATGCGTGTGCGTGAGGCACATGTGTAAGTCAGAGCACAATGTATGGGAGTCGGTTTTCTCCTTCTACCACTCCTGGAAATCAGCAAGTCACCGGGTTCGGCAGTCAACACCTTTACCCTCTGGGCCATCTCACAGTTTGGCTTTCCCAGTTTCATCTTTTGCAAATGACCTAACTTTGCTGAGTTCCAGTTTATTACTTGGAAGTAGAGAATTATTAGCACACCGTGGGGTTACAGATATTGAATAACAAACAGTCTAACCATCACACACTTTGTAGACACTTTAAAGGAGTAGACATCTACACTTTGTAGACACTTTAAAGATTTTTGACTGATTGCACTTTAATGTTTCACAGTCTTTTTATGAGAAGGAGATTTGGAAATCGTCAGTGGGGAAGGTGTCAGAGATCTGGGATTCCAGGAAGCCAGATGCAGGATAACTGAGCAGCCCAGTGCTATGAAGACTTGACATTCCGGTTGCTATCATGACATCAGAGGCCACCTCCTCCAGAAGCAAAGAGGAGGCCTCATAGTTTTGTTAGCAGCATCATCTTCAATTTCTTACATTTTTTTTTTTAAAAAAGGGCATTAACAACAGCTTAATAGTAAGAACTTAATTTTCCTTAGTGAGAGTCTAAAAGTGAAGCTTGATATGCATTGATTTCTGCTGTTCACGGCACACACACACACACACACACACACACACACACACACACACAGCCAGGCACGCACGCAAAGTGTTCTGCATGGCGTGAGACTCCAACGTGCTAAAAGAATCCTTGTAAATAAATTTGAACACCCGGATTCCAGGTGCAGACAGACCTGCCTTCTCCAAACATCCCTTGTTAGAGAGCAACGTCTAGACGTCGGGAGCCCAAGCCCTGGGAACTGGGAACGCACCCCGACCTGAGGGACGCATAAGAGCACCTGACAGGCAGCAGAGGAGGTGCGAACTTCCCGCAGCAGTTGTCTCCAGCAAATTCTTAACCGAACCCAGGGGAACTGACTCAGGTTCTCTGTGAACGTGCAGAGAAGAGAGAGAGAGAGAGAGTTTTGCCCTTAGGACGCCGCCCGCCGGGAAGGAAGAGCTACTGTTGCATTTGCCCCCTGGGGCTCGGCGGCAGCGGGCTCTGCTTGCAAGGCAGGTCTTGCGGAGCCGAGCTCAGCTCCCCCCCCCCCCCCGGGGGGGGCGGGACCGAGCCGCTCCCTCCGCCCCACAAATTGCTGCCACTGCCTCCGCCGGGCGCTCAGACGCCGCCGCCGCCGCCGCCGCCGCCGCCGCCGCCGCCGCCGCCGCCGCATCCCACGGCAGAGGCGGCCGCCAGCTCGAGCCGCGTCGCAGCTCCGTGCCGCAGAGAGGCCGGCAGGCGGCACCGCGAGGGACCTGGCCCGGCGCCGCTCGCATCCCTGGCGCGCAGCTGGTACGTAAGCGGGCGGACTGCGAGCGGGGGTCCCCGAGAGCGAGGAGGAAGGGGAAGGACTCGGGGAGTTGGGAGAGACTGAGCGTGCAAACGTGTCAGCGCAACTTTGCTATTTTCCGTCCGGTGGGCACACGCCTAGGACCGGGGAGGGGAAGGGGACATTTAGAGCAGATCCCATCCTTCCACCTGAAGCTGGAGGACTGTGGGAGCGAAGGCAGGTGCGCCCGGGGTGCGGGGGGAGGTCTGCTCATCGGCTTCTACCCGCTGGGCACTGAAAGTGGACTCTGGGGACCGCTGGTTGTAAGTTGCTGAGCCCTGTTCTCCTGTCGCGCCATCAACGCCACGTCGTTTTCCTCCTGCTTCGTTTCCCTAGTGCCCGGCGGCGGTGAGCGTCCACTAGCGCAGCCGAGGTCTGAGTTCCAGCCCGCTCTAAGCGTCCAGAGCGGCTGTGGCGTTAGCCAAGTCACCTCACCTTACCGGTTTTCCCCCATTCCTCCATAAACTATGCCTATGAGGAAACCGGTGACCTCAGGGGTGTCCCGCAGCCCTATCAGACTCTCCCCGGTGCTAAGACCCCAGCCGGTAAAGCAGGAGGCACTCCAGTGGCAGGTGGTCGCAGAGGCTGAGAGGCAGAGGGCGCCCCAGCCCTGGCTGGTCCTGGCTGTTGTGACTGCCGCCTTTGGGGGAGTTTTCTGAAGGCACCTTCTGGAAAGGGTGACCCTGTCGTATGGTCTTCCCGGATTCCATAAGTCAATTTCCTTCTTTAGTTGAAGCCGAGACGATAATGTCAGCGATGGTATCAGAGCGCATTCCTGATTTAGAAAAGCATCCCGAACAGCAGGTGCTGGGCCCGGAGAGAAGCCGTAAAGGCAAACAGTGGGGTTAGCAGCTGGACTCTGCGGGATCAGCAGGTGGATACTGGGCGCTGATGATCGCTTTAGACATAGGTGCAGTCAGGAAAGACAAATCCAAATGAAGCGCTCTTATCAGCGGTTTGATACTGGAGCAGTATTGGATTAGCCTTACTCTTAACAGTTGGATTTCTCTTTGTAAACAGCAACCTTTAAAAATCCACTATCCATTTCACGGGATTTTTTTTTTCCTTCTTGGCGTGTTAAAAAAAAAAAAAAACTTCCTTGAATTTAATATTTAGAAAGCTCAGAGTCTGGCTTATTAAAGTGAAAACTGGTGACCACAACTCTGAAGCCAAAGGTCGTATCTCTGAAACCATTGTGTCCTGTGACTGACAGACACTAGTCGGTGCCCCTCAACTGACACTCTCTCCAGAGAGCTTATTTTCCAAAAGAAGTGTTTAGCAAGATCAATTGATTCAATTTTAAACAGAATCTAATAAAAAAAAAAGCACAGGGAAAAGTTTTAGTAATCAACTATTTTTTTTTTTGTTTATGATTTTCTTCACAAAGTAACACAGACTGGGACATTACTCCATCTAGAATATTTTAAGAAGTGTCAAATTTCATTCTTGTTAAAGGTTTTTTTCTTCCTTCTTTAGTCAATTTAAGCATATGTTTAAGTTAATGATGGATCAATTTGTTTTTCTGATAGTATTGCAATTATTTAAATTCCTATGCAGTTTGCTTTACAGATTTAAACAATTAATGTATTGAGGTATAGATTATAAATTTACACATCATAACATTTACCCTCTTGAGAGGCAAATGATTTTTAGAAAGTCACCCCCTAGTAATGATTTTTAGAACTTTCACCAAGACGCATAATAATTATTATGATCTAGTTTTTTTTTTTGTTTTTTTTTTTTTTGGTTTTTCGAGACAGGGTTTCTCTGTGTAGCTTTGCGCCTTTCCTGGAACTCACTTGGTAGCCCAGGCTGGCCTCGAACTCACAGAGATCCGCCTGGCTCTGCCTCCTGAGTGTTGGGATTAAAGGCGTGCGCCACCACCGCCCGGCATGATCTAGTTTTAATCTTCAGCACTCTGTAAGATCCATTGGGCCTATTTGTAGTCTTCTATTTCCATCCCAACTCCAGGACATTGTGCATCCACTTTTCAGTTCCTATAGGCTTACTTTCTCTAAACATTTCAGACAAATAATGTATTATATGTTCTTTGGTTTCTGGATTCATTTGCAGTATGGTTTGTGGAACATCTGTAATTTGGTAGACATCAATAACTTATTCCTTTTTAACTGCTGAGTAATTTCTCACTGCGTGGGCATACCATATTTTGTCCATTTTCCAGTTGTTTTGCATCTGGACATTTTGTGGTTTGATTGAGTCCAGCCCCCCTATTCCTTCACCTCCAGTTTCTTTCCTTCTTCCTATGATTCCCTCTCAATTTCAGGTGTCCTTTTTTCAAACCCATGAGTCAACAGTGCTACCTACCTGCATGTGCCTGGCTGTGAGACCGTGTGGTTGGAACATGGGTAGCCTCTGGGGATTCACATCTCTTAAGAAAACTGACTTTCCTTCACCCATCATCAGTTGCCAATAACTTCACCATTAGGGGTAGGACTTTATGACCATCTCCCCGTTCACTTTGGGTTTTGCCAGGTTTAATCTTGGAGAGGTCTTGCGCATGCAGTCAGAGCTACTATGAGTTTATGCGTAACTATCCAGTTGTACCCAGAAAGCACTGCTTCGACACAGTCATCTCTACCCCTGGCTCTTACAATCTTTCCAACCCCTCTTTAGTGATTATCTCTGAGCCCTTGAGAGGAGAAGATGTGACACAGATGTCCCATTAAGTACTCGGAACTCAACGTCTCTTTTTCTCTGTGTGTGGACGAGTTGTGGGGGGGGGGGGGGGGGGGGGGGGGGGGGCGGGGGGCTAGTCACCTTCTACTGCACAAAGAAACTTCTCTGATGAGGAGTGAGAGACAGACGTATTTAGCTATGGGAATGCGTCCTTAGATGTTGCTTTAGTACTTGGTTCTTTTAGCAGAATAATAGTAGTAGGTTCTCTCCTAGGGCCTGTGACCTACCCAGCTTCAGATTCTTGGCCCCAGATTTATGGTGGTAGGCATGCTTTTATATATAAATATATATATATATATATATATACATATATATATATATATATATGTATGTATGTATAGTGTGTGTGTGTGTGTGTGTGTGTGTGTGTGTCCCCAAGTGTGCAGGTAGCATGCACCTGAAGGTTAAACGACAACTTGGGGAAGTAAGTTCATGTCTTCAACCACTGCTTGGGTCCTAGGACCAAACTTCCACCTGCAGACTTGGTGACAAATGCTTTTACCCCCTGAGCCATCTTTTTGGCTCAGTGTTGTTGTCAGTTTGGGCTATTAGGAACGCCAGTGCTAAGAACATTCACATGTAAGTCTTTTGTAAGCTCATGTTTTCATTTCTTTTGGTTAGATACTAAACTAAGAAATACTTGCTTACATATTAAAATTATGACCCTCTTTTAAAGAACATAGTAGAATGAGCTTTGGTAAAAGTTTAATATGTATAAAATGTAGAAAGTGCTAGAGGAGTAAGGTAGGTGTGTGTGTGTGTGTGTGTGTGTGTGTGTGTGTGTGTGTGTCTGTCTGTCTGTCTGTCTGTCTGTGTCTGTGTCTGTGTCTTAGTTAGGGTTTCTATTGCTGCAACAGGCACCATGATCAAAAAGCAAGTTGGGGAGGAAATGGCTTATTTGGCTTACACATCTACGTTGCTGTTCATCACTGCAGGAAGTCAGGACAGGAACTTGAGCAGGGCAGGATCCTGGAGGCAGAAGCTGAAGCAGAGGCCATGGAGGGGAGCTGCTTACTGGCTTGCTTCCCATGGCTTGCTTAGCCCACCTTTTTATAGAACCGAGGACCACCAGCCTAGGGATGGCACCATCCACCATGGCCTGGGCTCTCCTCCATGGATGACTAAATGGGAAAATGCCTAACAGCTGGATCTCATGGAGACATTTCCTCCACTGAGGCTCCTTCCTCTGATGACTCTAGCTTGTGTCACATTGACACACCAAACTACCTAGTACAGTGTGTGTGTGTGTGTGTGTGTGTGTGTGTGTGTGTGTGTGTGTGTGTGTGTGATAGATGACTGACAGACACAGACAGACAGACCCCCCCCCCCACACACACACACAGGAAAGCTTCCTTTCAAAGTTCAAGTACAGCAAACTACTCTTAAAAAAACACTACAACATTTTTCGCTAATATTTCCTGCTTAATGGTTTATTTTATGCAAATGAAGGCAAACCAGGCTTAATCAAGACTAAATCTGAATTCAAAATGAGAAGGAAATCCATTTGAAGTTTGTATTTCCAGATGTTGCTACCACTCAACTTTGCGTGGCTTGACTGTAGATTTGGTTGTTTCCCATGCCTTTAGTGTACAAGTTCAACCTAAGGGGAAGAAGAAGAAGAAGAAAAAAAAAGGATTCCTTTCTGAATGTCAAATACAATTGATAAAGTCTACAATGAAAGAAGCCTCCTTAGCTAAAATGTCATGCAAATAATAATTAAGCATCTCCTAATGCAGGTGGGGAAATCTAAGGCCCCAGATTCAGTAATTACATCTCTAAAAGTCACATATTATGGGTAAAATCAAGACTGAAGCCTTCCTTTCAAAACTTCTCCCATTGGTACACACTTTTCTAAATACTGTTGTTCTCACATATTATCATATACTTTGTATGTACCTCTTCTGTGCCATTGTGAGTGGATGATATTTCACACAAAAAGTTCTAGGTCACACTCCTGTGCATACCTGCAAAACCAAAAGTGGTTATTATTTTTCTTCTTACTAGAAGTAGAAGTGATTTTGAGAAATGAAACAGAGTTTCTACTTTTTATTCAAATGAGAGCTTTTTTTTTTTTCACCTCTCAATGGCAAATGGCCATTCTGTGCATTTACCCAGGTAGGGTTCCTTCTGTGGACTTTACATAAATGATGATTTGTGTCCCTCAGTCACTCAGAATCTTAATATAACAGTGCCCAGGAGCTGTTACTTTTTGTTGATGTATTGTGTTGTTTTTGGTCAGAAGGGGGTTCAGAGATGCTGAGATGGG